AGATAATTACTATTGCCACAACTAAAATAAGGCCATCTTGTTGAGGCCAAATTCAGAAGTCAATAATATGGCAAAATTCCAAACTTTTAAAAGCCAGAGTAAATTACTAAAGAGCAAATGGGGAAAAATTCCAATCCCCACCACATAATCAGAAACTGTGTCCACCTATGAAGGTAAGAAGAATTTACTTAGCATACAATCAAATATTAAAACAAACTAAAGTTAATATACATGAAAGTATTCAGCCAGCATCCTACATATACATGGTGGACACTCAATAGATTATCTTTCCTTCCTTTCTTTCTATCCCCTTAAATCATTAATCTATTGTCTTCCACCTATTTACCTTTTCAAGTTCATAGGTTTGTATTCTATCTCCAACTACACTGGAAAATATGAATTGCTTAATTCATAGATTCTTAGGTAGTTCTGCCATGTCTAAACAATATGTGTAGATAGCTCAAGAAAAAATGTGACATGATATATTAGGAAGCTTTTGGCTGCACAGCAGAATACTCATCTAAATGAGATTTATAAAATAGTTATTATCATTATTGTTGTTATTACTACCACTACCACGACCCCTACTACTACTTTGAGTGTATGGCCCAGACTCCATCCATCTTTCTTTTATCACCCTCTTTGGTCAACTATCTCCTTCCACATAATTACAAGATGAGTGCACTAATACCAGGTATCACACTCTCATGCAACAACATACTTCACTTTTTTATATCAGGGAAGAAAATCTTTCCCTGATGTCCCTTCACAAACTTTCTTTCTCACTCATTAACGAGAACTGTGTCACATGGCCAGCCCTACCTGCAAAGGGAATTGAGAAAGCAAGTAGGTGGGATAAAGTCCTAAAAATATGGATGAAAGTGAGGAGAATGACTATCAAATAGATAACCATGGTATCTTCAACACTGCTCAATATTCATAATGAGCCAGCATCAATTACAATGCTTACAAAGGAAAAAGTTACATCTATAAGATATTTAGGAAGAATAACTTTGCCACATTCCTTTTAAAGGCAGGGCTCCACATGAATGAATGAGAAACAGTAAAATTCTGAGGAGTTCTAAGCGCTATGACAGAGGAGTGGCCTGCCCCCCCCCCCCACATACACACTCATGGCAAGATAGTTCGTGAGCACACTCTTCTTACATGGGTCTCTGTATCTACAGATCCACTTTTTAAAGCCTTTTCATAAAAAAAAAAAAAAAAGCCTTTTCATTCAGGTTAACAGTCTCTAGCTTTAAATCCCAATCTTTTTCAGATCCAAAGCCAGCAGGATCTCTGGAGTATAGCAATCATTTCATTGCCAAAATATCAGTGTAATACATGTTAATATAATATAATCCTTTAAAAAGGAGATAAACCCAGAGAGTTTCGTGCCTATCCTGTTCTTACATTTTTTTCAAACTGATGGAAAGAAAATGTTAAGAAGCAAACGGATTGCAAAACTTCATTGTTTTCTTCTCAGTGAATTGAGGTGGGAAAAGGCACTTTCTGCTATATTGTCACTTTCCAATTTCTGGCCAAACCCCTGTAGTTTTCATCACGCATCATTTTTGTGATTAATGATGTGCACCCAGTTAATGGAAAACAGCAGATTAGGTTTCCACTAATAGTTTTGCAAGTTATGTACATTGCCTATCTGCCTCATTTACTGACAACCTCACTGCTCAGTAAGAAAGTAATGGATTTAATCCCAAAGCAGAACTTAGTTTTATGTGTACAAGACAGGTCAGATTTCCAGAGTGGAGAAAATTACTCTTTCAGAGGTATACAGATCCTCAGTTACACTGTATCACTGAGATAACAACTCATGAAAACTTAGCTTTTTTGTACTTCTTTTTTACTTCTGTTTTGCAATCAATTTAAGGATCTATAGTATTAACTTGAGACCTATAAAAATATATGCAATAACATCTTGTCACCATGACAAAAAAAAACAAATATAATATGATACTATTAGAATACTGAGCTAAAAGACATCTATTGCTCTGAAGAATAATATATTATGTGTGTGTGTGTGTGTGTGTTACTGTAATGATTGTGAAAAACACAAATTTACATCTGCTTAGTCTGTTTGACTCTGGAAAGTATACAGCCAATGGAATTCTTCTCCTTAAAGGTGACTGGAATGAAAAATACACTCTGCCACTCAATACAGCCAGTACTCTAATCTATTCACGAGTTGGATCAGCCATGAGGAAGAGCAATTATTGGCAGAATAGATTTCCAAAAACTACATTAAAAACAAAATTAAAGTGTAAAATTCCAAATAATGAAATCCAATGGATCATTTTATTGGTTAAGTTTATGCACAAACTGAAGGTAATTTATCCTGGCAAGTCTAATAAGGTAGTCTATTTAAAAAAAAGAAAACCTGATGATTTATGGGGTCCAAACTAAATTCTCTTTGGTCAAGACAGACATATGGTACTTTTTTTCACCTACGTACAGGCTGTTTTGTTTTTTCTTAAAAACTATGTTTAAATCTTTTTGTACAAAACACTTCTGGAATCTTAAACAATTATTTGAGTAGGTTTGATTAGAGAGAAAGAAACTTTAAATAATAAATTTGTCCTTATGTAATACAAGCCTGACAAGTGGTTTTGTACAGGGATGAGGTGGACTTTTTCTTACACAAGAATACAAGTCAAGACTCCAAATTAGGTCTGGAGGTATGGCTCAAGTGGTACAGTGTCTGCTTGCAAGCATAACATCCTAAGTTCAACAAATCCCAGTACCAAAAAAATCCTCCAAATTTCCCCAATGGAATCTCAAAACTGGTCTCTGATACCTAGTACTTAAAGCAAATGAGTTTCTCTTTGTATGTAGGGACTATCAGCACCTAAGTAACCTAATTAAAAATTTCTACCAGATTTTGTCAGCACTTATGGAAAACTTCACAGATCCTGAAAGCTACCTGAATGCATTGTGGAATGCACAGGACATCTTTTTCCTGATAGTACTTCCTAGCAGCAAAAAATGCTACATAAATACAATATATATTAGTTTTTTTGTAAGAAATGATGTACATGTAGGTATTAAATGATTGAACTGATGAAAACACCAAGTAATTTATTGAACATTAAGTACATAAATAAAAAATATTCTGTTATTTTTTCTCATTAAGTTTTATAGGTGGAAGGGGAAAAGACAAAAGTAAAATATATGAAATTATCTATGAGTCAAATTTTAATCTTCCAAAATAAGATATTTGCCCAAAGGTTCTATGTATTTAGTCATTTTTTTCCTCTGATAAGACATGTTCACAAAAATCTTGCTGGTCATGTTGCAGCTCACATAGGCATGTTTTGCATTGCCTGCTTAAATGCTTCTAGACACATATAACCTACAGAGTGCCATCTTCAAAATGAGACTGAATAAAGAATTATTCATCCAGTATGAGGCACTGTAACTCAACAATAAAGTAACTTTGCGATAATTTGGGTCAGAGAAAATTCCTATTACTATCAATAAGTCAAAGATAGTTCTTTTAAAACCAGGAAAAATAATGATGTTATTTCTTAGTTATGAAGGAAACGATACAGCCATATTATTTGTTGGATTAATCAAAACCTACTTCTATATTGATGCTTTTAAAGGAACAACTAAGTGTTTGATTCCTTAAATAACTACCTACACAGCAGCAAGTAACATGAAGAGTTGAAAATAGACACAGGACTCCAGAACTCACATTTGTAATGATTTTGTTAGCTTTTTGTGTTATTTGTAGTTTTAATTTGTTTTAGGGAATCTGGAATGTGTTCACGGTTTTGTTCTGTGAATCAAACCTTCTTATTCTACCCAGGTTTATGTTAATCTTCAAAGATAGACTCACGAAATCAGTATGCTGATAATGCAGCATGAGGTCATCCAGTGATGACAGCCATAGACCTGTCAGAGACAATCCCACTGACCTTACAGTTATTCTACAATGTCAGTTTCACATATACACACAAGGACACACACACACACACACACACACACACACACACACACACACACACACACACACACACCCCATACATCCCACATACACAGCCCTCACAAAGCTGAGGGCCCTGAAAAAGCTAATAGCTCTCCCAGACTGAAAAGAAACATCCTGCCGTTCAGGAATGATAGAATGAATTTATACCTAATGAAAGTACATTGATACCTGAACAAACACATAACCTGAAAATAAGAACCTTACCTCTGGAGCCATGTCTATGGTGTAAGAAGCTTTTAATAATCAACTCAAGAAAATACAAGTAACACAAAGGCACTGCTTTTTTCCAATTCAGAAGCAGACAATCCCTACTTGATCAAACAGTTCATTTTTAAAAGGCACAAATGAAACTGTTAATGCCTTATATACTAATCACTGTCATAAAACATGCTTTTACATAAACACACTCTCATTAGCCTCTCTAATAAGCTACAAATAGGAAGTCTTTTAAAAGTCTAAATCTCAAGGTCGAGCACAATAATTTCTGGGAGAAAAACCCAAAGATGTTGTAGACAACTTATCTTTTTGTTCACTTATTTTTATATTCCATTTGGTTGACAAAAATATAAATAATTAAATCAAAATGCCTTCCCTTCAAGATAACATATTTCATGAAATACTATTTCATGTTTATTTTACAAATTTTATTTTCAATAAGTTAGTAAACCAATTCAGTCTGAATGTTACAGTCAAATAAAAAAGACTACTTCCTGAACAAAGCTATAGAAATAGATTATCGATAAATAGGTTTTTGAAAACAATCCACAAATTTTGGATATGAACCTACTTTTTTTCTACGTGTGGAAATATTTTTTTCTGCTTAGAATGTTTTGTGACAACATATTTGAATTGTTCTTCAAGGAAGAAGGAGGGTGATGGAAAGCAAAAGGGACAAACTCCTGTTGACTGTGGGACCAGTATTTATGACAAAGTATTACACATACAACAAGATCCAATACATCAACACATAAACGAGAAAATCACAGATGATTACCTGATATTCATTGGGCCAAAAGGTGCTTACTGCCAGCTCAGCTCGAAGCCAATCTCTACCGGTGAACCCAGTCACATTCCAAATTGGGTTAGCAAGAGGTCCTTTATTCACCCTAACTAGGATGTTCAAAGTGCCAGGACTCAACCCTTTCTGGCTATATAACAGATAACTGAAATCAATGCAGTGAGTGTCATTTTCCTTCATTGTAGGCAGTTGAAGTCGGGCTTTTTCTCCAGGGTCATGATCTGAAGAGTCCACTATCATATAGGAACCTGAAATGAAATTACAAATAATAAATCTAAATAAATACGAAAGCCACAGGGAACATATAAAAATAAAAAATTTCCAATATACTCTGAATACTATGTAACTCAAAAAAGCCATGTCTTCCAGAACAGAGTCATAAAAAGATATCAATTAAGCAAGTAGGTGAATTAAATCCTTAAATAACATTGTTTACACTAGACAAATGCATTTACCCATTTAACCACCACAACAACCTGTTATTGTCCCCATTTTACAAATTAGGAAGTTGAGGCAGCATTAGTTAGTTAAAGTCACATAGTGGACAGGGAAGGGCATGGTTCAAATTCAGATCTCACTAAAAACATTCCAGTCTTCCTAAATAGAAAGTCTTAGAAAACAAATAAAAGCAATTATCTTACTGACCACATGCCCCTCCCCATCCTACCCCCCACAAAAAGCAGAATCTTTTTGTACGAAGATGGAAGAGGATAGGTAATAGAATTGTTTCTGATTTCAAATTGCAAGATTATTATTTGGACAAGTTATTTGCCACCTACTAACTATTCTGAACTTCAGTTCCTGGAAAAATAATACCTTGTAGAGTTAGTGTGAAGGCTAACATTAAACTTTCCCAGAGCTAAGATTTGGGTATATAGTAGGCTTAATGTATTTCTGGCCGACTAGGCGGTCAACTCATAACTCATCACCATTACCATATGCCCCAATTCTGCTTTTCTAAGATGAGGAGGAAAAAATTTAAAAAAAAACTTGAAATCAATAATCTACTCCACCCCTTTGTTTGAATATTTATTGGTTATGTATCATGAGGCCAAGGGCATAGAGCATTTACACAGACCTTTCACTGCAGGCTAACTACAAAAACAAGACTTCAACATTGGGCTGCTATATTAGTGCAAGAAGCTCTCCAGAAAAACAGCAAATTGTTCTAGTCTCACAGCAGATTTTAACAGAGACACATATCACAAAAATGTAAATATACAATTTTATTACAAAATTTTTTCCTAGGATGTAATTTTAACCACAATATATTTGGTACAGCATTACAGAACCCAGTTTTACAAGGGTTCTTGGCCCTCTCTTCCTAACAAAATATATAACTAATCAACCCTCTGTTTTCCCTCCTGAAAACATAACTTGTACCCATGATATATTAAACACTCAGTGACCACTAATAAATTCAATTAACCTCAACAATAGGCTCAAATCATGAAAGATGGGAGGAATTCAACTACATAAGAAAACAAATTCAAAACTGACTAATTCCACTGAGTGGTAACTTGTGGTTCTGAACTTTGGCAAAGATTTTGTCTAACATTTTATTTAATGCAGTTCAAATACAGAATACAAATACTGTAACAGTAATAACCAGTATTATTGTTTACTTCAGTTTCTCAGTTCTCATCTTCTTTCTTAAGCTTGGAATTCTATTCTTTTTCCTTCTTCATGATTTCGCAGATGGTACATTTACACAATAAATTACCTGATTTTTGGAAAAACTATGTCTTTTTTATAACAGGATATCCTGCATCCTGATCCAATTTACAGAAGTAGGGTGCTTCTATTCGTGGTTATATTCTTGTTCTAAAATCAATAGCTGATTTAGGAAGATCACTTTCAGATTCACTAATGCTTAGCAGACCTGTTATTCTTAACTAGGATCAGGCCTGAGTCTTAGATAAGTTACTTAGTATTATTGGGCCTCTGCTTCTTCACAAAACTGTGGCACATTTCTCCACTGCAATAACAATTTTTTCATTGACATATTATTACAGTAGTACATTTAAATTATTTTTACAAGTTTGCATCAATTATAGCTTCTGATTATCAACTTAATAGTGATTTCTAAATGACTTACTGGCTTTCTAATAGTCATTTTCTTTTGTTAGAAAATAAATTTTGTAGTAAAATGCTTTGTGCCACATTTTAATCATACATTATGAGATTAACCATTAAGAGCATTTAGCAATTTTCAGCCATTTGCATTTTTAAGCTACAATAATTTTCCTATTAGAGAAATGGGATGAGCAAACTATATTCATTTGTAGGCCTTACTAATTTGATAATCACAAAATAAGAGCTTATCCAAACTATATAACTCATTTCTATAGAATGTTTCTCATAAATGCTCTATTTCAATGCAGCCCAGTATTACTATATTCTCTGAGTGGTATGGAATAAAAATGCATTTATGGCACAGTTCTAGAAAAGAAGAAGCAAGCACTAATACCAAAAAGTCATTTAAATCTTTCTGTCTAGTGACTTGATATAGTAGCAATTTACACAGTAGGTTCCATTGAGGTAGCTGCCTGTTTGACACAAACTCCCCTCAGTCATCCTAAACATAGAGTACACTGTGTTCTTATAAACTTTGAAAAATTACCTTTACAACCTACCAGTGTAACTGGTTCTCATCACTTACGGAGTGGAAATTCTGCAACATGCACTCCCTCATTCTTTATGTTACAACTTAAACTTACTTACTATTGTTCTGGTTCCCGGTAACTAATCTCATATGTTTCTAAAAAATAAAGCTCAGTAATATTTAATTGTGATTTAGCTGCCTTAAAGCTTAATAATAAAATGTTCACACACATAAAATGTACTAATTTTACTGAACATAACATCTTTATTGTGGCCTTACTGATACTTTTTACAACCTCTTCAGCAAAGAGTTCTCAAATTTTATCATCCAAGATGGAGTTTAGATGTCTTTAAATGCACAATTTTTAAGAAAGCAATTTTACAGTAAGAACCAAAAACCTTATAACAATATAAACCCTCTGATCTGACAATTCCATGTCTAAAAATATATATTAAGCAAGAATTTGTAAATATACAAAGATACAGCTTAAAAAGATGCTCATCTCACCATTACACTGTTTAAAATGAAGAAAAGTAAAAGGATTCTAAATGTAAGATAATAGTTACTTTGTGAAATTATGATCAATAAGTTTGATAAATCATACTAAGGAAGCATTTTGTGACACCTATTCATATTAAGTCAAATATGTAGAAAATATTATATTCATATGATTTTCAGCTTTTTTAACACTGTGACAAAATACCTGAGAAAATTAACTTAAAAGAGGAAAATTTATTTTGCCTTATGCTTTCAGCCCATACTCACTTGACCTCATGGGTGTGGACCTGTGGTAAAGCAAAACATCATCATAAGGGGAGTGTAGTGGAGCTAATTTGCTGATCTTGTGGCTTCCAGAGGCACAAAGAGAGAAAGCAAGAAAGAATGATGAAGACATACCCTTCAACAACATGCCTGCAGTGACCTACCTCCTCCAAGTAGGCCCTACCTCTTACACTTTCCACCACCTCCCAATAGTACATAGAGTTATGAAACCCTAAATGGATTAATCCATCAATGAGAATGGATTAATCTGTTGATGAGGTCAGAGCCCTCATGATCCAATCACTTCCCAAAAGCCCTACCTCTGTACATTGCTACAGGGACCAAGCCTTCAAAACATCAGCCTTTGGGGGACATTTCAGATTCATACCATAACAACCCATTTATAAATATTTTTTTAAATTTTAGAGTAAGTTCTTTTGGTTTTATTTACTTTGTTTAGATAATAATGAAAAGAAACAACAAGAAAAAACCTTAGTCTTCCACCATGAAAAAGTCTACTGTTTATAAAACAGGCTGTCTTTATTTTATAAAGGCATAGCTTCAAATCTCAAATGTGAATGACCATGTAACACATCTTCTATGGTGACATATTTCCTAATTAAACTTCTCTAGTAATCACTCCTATATTTTCATGACTTTGTTCCCCCTCCCCAAATTCCACAAATGAGAGAGTACATGTGAAACTTTGTGGGACTGGCTTACTTCATTCTAAGTCATGAGCTCCAATTCCACCTATCTCTCAGTAAGGAACCTAATTTCATTCTTATCACCCGAATAGAACTCAATTGTGCATATATGCCACATTTTCTTTATTCATTCCTCTGTTGATGGGCACATACAGTGATTTCATAATTAAGTAATTGTGAATAGTGCTGCAATAAACATGGGTATGCAGGTTTCTCTATAGTTAAGGTGACACAGATTGTTTTTGGTTTATAACCAGAATTGATATGCATGGATCAATGGGACTTTATTTTTATTTTTTAACATACCTCCTTACAGATTTCCATAGTGGTTACACTAATTTACATTCCCATTAGGAGGGAAAAAGACCTCCTTTTCTTCCTTCATGCTTGCCAGATTTTATTTTCATAATAATTGCCTTTCTGACTGTGTTGTGTGTGGAATCTCAATGTAGTTGACTTGTATTTCATTGCTAGCTAAGGATATTAAATATCCTTTCATATATTTATTAGCTTTTGCACTTCTTCAATTGAAAAATGTTAAATTTATTTACATGATTATTGATTGGGTTACTTGTTCTTTTGCTGTTTAATTTTTGTTTATATATTCTGTATATTAATACCCTATTGAATAAATATTGGCAAATATTTTCTCCTATTCTTTATGGTATATATTCACTGTGTTGATTTTTTTACTGTGCAGAAGCTTTTAAATTAGTTTAAATCCCACTTGTCAATTATTGGCCTTACTGTAAGAGCTACTGGAGTCTTATTGTGAAATTCCATGTCTATGCTTCCATCTTCAAATGTATCTTCCATGTATCAGTCTTGTAGTTTCCAAGTTTTAGATCTTGAATTAAGTTCTTTAATGCATTTTTTTCTTTATTCATATACTCATATGTGCATACATTGTTTGGGTCATTTCTCCCCCTTGCCCCCCCACTCCCTCCCTGTCTCCCCACCTCCCTCGCTTCCAGGCTATAAATGTTTTTGTAAATGTGTTCACTTGTGTGTATGCACAGCCAACTGGAAAAAAATACAGGACATGGAGCAAAATGTTAAGAGCATGTTATTGGGGACTGCAATTCTTCATTTTTTATGTACATTTTCTGAATGTTCTACAATGAACATTCATTAGATGTATACTTTTTTATTTTAAACAGTGTATACAAGTATA